ATGGGTCTTGCAGTAATGATGCACATGTCAGAAGCCTCTTCACTCGCCACTCTGGAGCTTCGATACGATGAAATACGTTGTCCTAAGGCCCACTCGACAATAGAGGTACGCGCGGTATGCGAACACATTACAGACGACATCGCTTATCTGGTTGCAACCGCAAATGAACCAGGCGTCTCGAGCCCGTTTGCACACGCCATCGGCCGCTTCATTTTGACCGGTGCACCATCAGGATTTCTAGATCAAGCGCTACAGATGATGAAGAATAGGCCTTCAGAACAAGGCGTCGAATGAAATTCGAGGATCTCACCAAAAACCAACCCTACGTGGAGCATCTTGGTTTGCAACTGGTAAGCCATGATTCTCATGGCCTGCTATTCAGGTTGGAACCCGAAGACAGATTCATCGGAAACCCAATGTTGCGAGCATTTCACGGAGGCATCATCTGCAGCGCACTGGATTGCGCAATGTCGCTCACCGTAATGTTGGCCAACAATCTGCAAGCTCCACCCCAATTGATCAACCAGACGACAAGCTTTCTGGGCAGCGCGACGGCAGATAAGCCCATCAATGTACTGGCCGAAATCACCAAGCCAGGCAAACGGATCCTGGCCGCTCATGCCCGCGCGTACCAGGACAATCCGGATATGCTGGTTGCAAAAGGATCAGTACTATACCGCGGCATGCCCTCCAGTGCGTAAGCTAACCCACTCAATTCTTCTATCACTGTGCGCCATCGGATCAGGATGCGATGTCAATTCAGCAGATTCTGCGCCACCTCCTCCAGGTGAAAGCAAGGTTGCCCCCCTCCAGGTGGAGGTGTTGCGTACAAAACAGTCTGAAATTGTGGAACCGATTTTCGTCACCGGAACAGTGCTTGCCCACAAAACAACGGATCTCGTACCTTTAGTTGGCGGTATGGTCGAAGATATCATGGTGGCTGTGGGTGATCGGGTAAAGAAAGGCCAACCTCTTTTGCGCATGCGGCAGCGCGACTTTGAAATCAAAGTAGAGCGTCTGCGACAAGCCGTTCGCCTATCCACAGCCGAGCAACGTAATGCCCAAGTCGATTTTGAAAATGCTTCCGCACTCGTGAAAAAAGGTGGATTGTCACAGGAACAACTGGATGATCGAAGAACTCGCTATGAGGCAACAACTGCTCAGCGTGGTATCGCTCTAGCCGAACTGGCTGAGGCTGAATTGGCGTTGGCGGACGCGACCACCCGCGCACCCTACGATGGTGTAATAACCCAACGCAACGTCGATGAAGGCGCTTTCGTCTCTTCCTTCATGCGTACGAGCGAGCCCGTTATACAGATCCAGAAAATTGACATTGTGGTTGCAGTGATTTTTGTCCCGGAAGTACATTTGGCATCGATCAAGTTGGGCACACCAGGGAAAGTCATCATTCCTGGATTAAATAAGTCTTTTTCTTCTGAAGTCCACCTGATTAACGATCGCCTCGACGTTCAAACTCGCAGCATTGACGTTCGCCTGGGTATCCAGAACGCAGACTACGCCATCAAACCAGGATTGTTCATCGAAGTGGAACTTTACCCTGCAGCGCGAAGCGCAAAGACATTACCGAAGCACACGGTTCGTGGTCTTGGTAGCGATAGATACATTTTTGTTGTGGAAAACGGCCTCGCAAAGCGCCGTTCTGTAGAAATACGTGAGCTTGGCAATGACCAGGTGGAGGTACTGTCAGGCGTCATGGATAGCGAGTTGGTTATCCAAGGCCCTAACTTAAATCTGATTCAAGAAAATGCAAGCGTCTCATTCAGGGCGCCCGGTTAATGTGGCTTTCTGACCTTTGTATACGTCGCCCGGTTTTAGCCTGCATGATGATCGCGAGCCTGCTTGTACTCGGCGCTATTTCCATGGGTCGTGTTGGCATTGACCTCTTTCCCAGCGTTGAGTTTCCGTACATTACCGTCGAAACGACCCTGAGCGGAGCAAGTCCCGGCACGGTCGAAACAGAAATGACTGACCCGCTCGAAGAAGAGGTGGTTGCAATCTCAGGCATTGAGAGCCTTCAATCAGTCAGCAGCGAAGGCTATTCGCGACTCTACGTCGAGTTTGGACTGTCGGAAGATGTTGACGTCAAAGCACAGGATGTAAGAGACAAAATCAATCTTGCGACGCCCAATTTACCAGAAGGTATCGACCTGCCGAAAGTTAGCAAAACCGACCCTGACTCCGAACCAATCCTAACGATTATGCTCTCCGGCCCCATGTCTATTAGAGAGCTAACAACATTTGCCGAAGACGAAGTTAAAGAACGCCTGCAGCGCGTGTCCGGAGTGGGCGGCATCAAAGTTGTCGGCGGCCGAGAGCGGGAAATACGCATTTGGTTAGATGCCCTGAAACTTCGAGGTTTCGGCATCACCGTTGATGATGTCATCAACTCGATACGTCGAGAACATGCCGAGATACCCGGCGGCAGGATGGACTATAAAGGCGGTTTATCCGAATACACCATCAAAACCAAAGGCGAAGTCAATCAGGTTCAAGATTTCGCGAATATCGTCGTTGCACAAAACGGACCGGGCTATGTTCGTGTGCGCGATGTTGCTCGTGTAGAAAATGGTCTAGAAGACGAGCGCTCATACGCAGAGTTAGACGGCGCGCCCGGTGTGAGCTTAGAAGTTCGCCGCCAATCTGGAACGAACACCGTTGAAGTCGCCCGTGCGATCAAAGCTGAAATTGAAAGCATTCGCGCTGAAGCGCCCTCAGATATCAGACTGATAGTTGCACGCGACGTGTCGCGGTTCATCGAATCATCTGTGCGCGACGTCACCTTCGACATTATTCTGGGTATCGGGCTTGTTGTTATCGTGACACTCGCCTTTTTACTCAGCATTCGAGCAACACTCATTGTCGCAACCGCAATACCTACGGCAATCATCGCGACGTTTTTTGCATTTTATATGCTCGATTTCACAATAAACATGATTACCATGGTCGCAATTTCTCTAACCGTGGGCTTGCTTGTCGACGACGCTATCGTCGTCCTTGAATCAATACACCGAGAAGTCGAATCAGGCAGCGAGCCCAAGGTTGCCGCCTCACAGGGAACCAAGAACGTTGCCGCCGCGGTTATTGCTGCAACACTGTCAGTGATGGCGGTTTTCTTACCCATAGCGTTCATGAGCGGTGTCATAGGCAGGTTTTTCTATCAGTATGGTTTGACCATTGTGGTGGCAGTGGCCATATCCCTCTTTGTATCGTTAACGCTCACACCCATGCTGAGCTCCAAGCTTCTTAAACAAAATGCACAGCATGGTTTCCTCTTTCGTGTGTTCGATGGCGGCTACAAACGTCTTGAACAATTTTATCGACGAGCGCTAACAGTCTCATTTCGTGTTCGCTGGCTAGTCCTGGTGATAGCCGGAGCTTCTATTTACATGGGGATCCACTTTGCGACACAAGTGCCCATTGCTTTCCAATCAAAAACTGATCGAAGCGAGTTTTTATCCGTAGTTGAGCTGCCCTTGGGCACGGGGATCCTCGAAACGAAAAAAATAGGATCGCGCGTAGGACAGGCAATAGGTGCACTGGAAAACGTGGAATTGGTGTTCTTGAGTATCGGCGCAGACGCACAGGGTAAGGCCAACGTGATCGACTACTACATCGGAATTACACCCAAAGCAGAACGGGATATTGGCCAACAGGTGATTCTGGACCGGGTTCGTGAGGAAATCACTGCGGCAGTTCCTGAAGCCAAGTTCGTTGGCATGAAAGAGATTTCCTGGTCGAGCAGCAGTAACTTTTTCACCGCGGATGTCGAAGTCGCTTTAAGAGGGCCTGACCTTGCAAAACTGAATAGCTATTCAGAGATCATGATGAACGAGATGCGACGTTCCGGGATGTTTGTGGACATCAAATCAACCTTCGAACTTGGTAAGCCTGAAGTCCAGGTGCTCATCAATCGCGACCGTGCATCAGATCTTGGCATCTCGATCCGCGATATCGCCTCAACCGTACGGGCCACGATTGGTGGATCAGATATTACAACATTCGAAGAATTTGGATCGCGCTACGATGTTCGCGCCAGGATGGAAGAGTCCTACCGGGATGATCTGAGTAAATTCGGATTGCTACAAATTCGTGCCGCCGATGGAACGCTTGTTGATTTCAGAAACGTAGCGGAGGTTGTCCTTGCCAGTGGACCTGCGCAAATCGACAGGCTCAATCGATCTCGGAAAATATCCGTGCTTGGCAACGCACCAGCAGGTTTTGCCGTCGGCGAGTTAATTAACGAAATGGATGTCATCATCGAAGACCTCGGCCTGGAGGCAGGTTACGAAGCCTCCTACCAAGGTGCATCCGAACAAGTTGGGGAGACGATGCAGGCCGTTTTGTTCGCGTTTGGCCTTGCATTGGTCGCGCTCTACATGATCCTCGCTGGCCAGTTCAACAGCTTCTCGCAGCCGGTAGTCATCATGTCAACGGCACCACTGTCGTTTGTTGGGGCTTTCACCTTGCTTGCGCTCACGGGTTCCGAACTCTCCCTATTCGCTCAAATCGGTATGGTCGCTTTGATGGGACTCGTTATGAAGAACGGTATTCTGCTGGTCGACTATGCAAACCAGGCCATTGAACGTGGGCAACAGGCTCAAGAAGCCATGTTAGAGGCAGGCCAACTCAGGTTGAAACCTGTGCTCATGACAGCAGCTTCCACAATTTTTGGCATGATTCCAATAGCGATCGCAACATCGGATGGTGCCGAATTTCGAACTGCAATGGGCATCATCGTGATTGGTGGATTACTCTCTTCTACGCTGCTGACCCTGTTCGTGGTACCCACCGTTTTCACTTTATTTAGTGATGCCGCTTCGATGGCGAAGCGGCTACAAAACAAACTCTTACGCCAATTCAGCGAAGACACCGATAAATCATCAGCTTTGCCATGAGTATCTCCCCTATTCTCTCTCCAGATACAAGTGGCAACACACCTTTGCCCATATGCGGGCATGGGTGTGCCCAATCTGCCCCCCTCAAGCGTGGGGCGTGACCAGGTACTTCTCGCCGGTTTTCATCTGCCGATAATCGAGCACTGCATCACGGGTGAGCATCTCTTCCAGATTGACCTTGCTCTTATAAGAACTGGCAAAGGTTGTTGTCATGCCGTCGAGCACACGCTGCCGCATACGCATCATGGTGTCCATGCCGGCGGTCTGCAGGAACGGCGTGAGCAGCCAACCGGAAAGGGTCCAACCGAAACCGTACGACGGGGTCAGCACTGTGGGTGACAGATCCAGACGCCCGTAGATGTACATCTTTTTCTCCTGGGTGGAACCGTAACGAGAGAACTCCGCCATCTTGGTCGCGGCGACCTGTTCCATCGCTTTAAAGCAGGCATCAACATTGCTGCCGCCGCCGATGGGATCAAAGCCGCAGTAGGCGTCCGTAGCGTCGATGGCACCGCGTAACTGATCCATGAAGTCGTCGGCCGACGAATTGACGACGTGCTCGGCGCCGAGGCCTTTAAGCAGGTCAACGTGTTCGGCGCGCCGCACGATGTTCACGAGCGGCAAGTTGTCCTCAAGGCAAATCTTGACCAGCATCTGGCCGAGGTTCGACGCTGCGGCAAGGTGGATGATGGCTTTTTGGTTTTCCATACGTGCCGTTTCAACAAAACCGAGCGCGGTCATGGGATTCACGAACGCGGAAGCACCGTCCTCCGAGGAGATATCACCCAATGGCAAGCACATACCGGCATCGGCAATACAGTACTGGGAGTAAGCATTGCCAGGCACGCAGGCCACACGCTGCCCGATGAGGCCCTGTGCCTGTTCACCAGCGGCAATCACCATGCCGGCGCCTTCGTTGCCGACGGGCAGTTGCTGGCCGTGTCGACCCTTTTGCGCGCTGAAGAAGGGCTCGGGCATATTGGCGACAAACTTGCCGGCGGAGTACTCAGCGTTTTCCAGATCGGCGCTACTGGTGAGGATGGCCAGGTCGGACGGGTTGATGGGGGCCGCTTCCATCTGGACCAGAACCTGGTTGCCGGTGGGATCGGGGAACTGGGTTTCTACTATTTCGACGGTGAGTTTGCCGTCTGCGAGGGTGCTGAACAGTTGCTTTCCTGTGGTCAAGGCAGTGCTTCCTATGAGATTAAAATATCAGAGGATAAGCATACCTTTCGCCCGCTTGATTTGTTACTGCTGTCGACAACGCGTTGCTGTGACCGCTTGGCAGCCAGATATCATTCTGGCCCGACACTGAAGTCAAACAACGTTATAATCCATAAAAATATCGCAATCTCACAATATCTGGAGAATCAACATGGCTGAAGCACTGATCATTGATACCTGTCGTACCCCACGCGGCATTGGCAAGGCGGGTAAAGGTGCCCTTTCGCATCTGCACCCACAGCATTTAGGGTCCACCGTCCTCCGCGCGCTAGCGGATCGAACAGGTATTAACACCGCGGATGTTGACGATGTTATCTGGGGCACCAGCGCACAGGTTTGTGAACAAGGCGGTGATCTGGGGCGCATGTCGGCTCTCGACGCTGGATACGACATTCGAGCCAGTGGCGTCACCCTGGACCGGTTCTGCGGCTCAGGCATTACCAGCGCCAATCTCGCCGCTCAGGCAGTCTTGTCAGGCATGGAGGATCTGGTAGTTTCCGGCGGTACGGAGATGATGTCTCTCCCCAAGAAAGGCGTATTGCCCATGGGTGCCAACAACGCCCACCTGCAGGAAATTCATCCGCAATCGCACCAGGGTGTCTGTGCAGATGCCATTGCGACGTTGGAAGGCATCTCGCGCGAGACGCTGGATGAACTGGCGGCTTTGTCGCAAAGCCGAGCCCAGCGAGCGATAGAAGAAGGTCGATTTGACCGCAGCCTGGTACCCGTTCATAACCTGGACGGCACCATCGCGCTGGATCGTGAAGAGTTCCCTCGCCCGGGCACCACTGTTGAATCACTGTCAGCTTTGGCACCCAGCTTTCCACAAATTGCTGATTATCGGCACACCGAGGGTGCAAAATCATTTCGCGAGCTGATCAACCAGAAATACCCAGATCTCGCTATCGAGCACGTGCATCACGCCGGCAACTCATCTGGTGTTGTTGATGGATCAGCCGCCATTCTCTGGGCCAGCCCCGACTATGCCAAGGCAAACGGTTTAAAGGCACGAGCTCGCGTCGTTGCCTGTGCAAACATGGGAGATTGCCCAACTTTGATGTTAAACGCTCCAGTGCCAGCGGCGCACAAGGTGTTACAGAAAGCTGGCCTCACCATCAATGACATCGACGTCTGGGAGATCAACGAAGCGTTCGCAGTGGTTTCCGAAAAGTTTCAACGCGACTTAAACCTTGACCGTGAAAAGGTCAACATTAACGGTGCGGCGATGGCTTTGGGACACCCCATTGGCGCAACCGGTGCCATGCTCATCGGCACGGCGCTTGATGAACTCGAACGCTGCGACGGTCAGTTTGCCCTGATTACCATGTGCGCGGGTGGCGGTATGGCGCCAGCTATGATCATCGAACGGGTTTAGGGTTAGACGCCCCAACGATAACGATAAGTAAATCTATCTGCATCGTTGGGGTGTATGCGTCCCGAAGAGTGAAAATCATCGACAGGATGTTGCATTTGCACAGCCTGCAGCCTCGGTCCCGCGATCGGCACCTGATCGGGACAGGTAAGGATTGGAAAGCAATGCCGAGCATCGGAGCCGGCGTCATGTCAGTGGCGGGCTGATCGGCCTCTGCGCTTTTGTTCCGCTTGCACACACTAGCACCAGGCATTGTATTTACACCAGTGAACATATTGTCTTTGCTGTCACTATTCGGTATTCCCACCTGCCGCTATCGATCTTGATCATACTGAATGATCCTGCAAGAGATAAAAAGCTGATTCAATAAGAAAGATTCATGCACGCCTGGCTTCACACTGATATTGTTTGTGCCGACCAACAAAGCGTACTGAAACAACTACAGTCAGTGCCAAAAATAATTGTTAATACCGCTTGGGAAAACTCATACATGACAGCCGCGACCGCATCCGAAGAAGGTGAAGCACAGAGTAAAGTCACCGGTTTCGGTACCAAACGTTACCGAACTTATGTGCTCTCAGCCCTGACGCTCATCTACATTATGAATTTTGTTGACCGCGGCCTGCTCGCGGTCGTCGGTCCGGATCTTGTGCCGGAGCTCGGCATTTCCGACACCCAGTTCGGGCTGCTTACCGGTTTCGGTTTTGCGCTTCTCTATACGATTGTGGGTATTCCTCTGGCCCGGTTTGCAGATAGAGCTAACCGCGTTTGGATTATGACTGTGTGTGTTGCCTTGTGGTCCTTAATGACGGCGCTCTGTGGGCTCGCCACCGACGTCACCATTGGATCGCTCACCATCGGCGCGTTCTGGATATTGCTGATGTGTCGCGTTGGCGTGGGTATTGGTGAGGCAGGCTGTACACCCCCGGCCAACTCTTTAATCGCCGACTATTACGCACCCCGGGACAGGTCTCAAGCGCTGGGCGTCTATGCCATGGGCGTCACACTGGGCACGATGTTCGCGAACCTGATTGGTGGCTGGGTAACCGATGCGTTCGACTGGCGAACAGCTTTTTTTGTGGTCGGTTTGCCAGGCCTGCTGATTGCCATTGTTTTCAAATTGACGGTCAAAGAGCCGCCGCGCGGGTATACAGATCCGGCAGGCACGCAATCCAAAGAACAGGTTTCGCTTAAGGAGGCGATCCGTGAGCTGACGACCAAACCCGCTTTCTGGTATATGACGGCTGGCGCAACAGTTGCGGCTTTCTGTGGTTACGGAATCTCCTCGTTCCAGTCAATCTTTCTGGTCCGAGCCCACGAAATCACCACGGGCCAAGCCGCCATCTGGATCAACACGCCGGTATCTTTGTCATCCGCCATCGGGACTTTCGCATGTGGCTGGCTGGCAACAAAAATTTACCAGAAGCATCCGGGTGCAATCGCCTGGGTGCCCGCCATTGGATTAGCCTTGTCGATCCCATTTTATATCTTTGCCTTCACGACACAGAGTCTGGTGTTTGCTGCTTTCGGCCTGATTGTTGGCGGCTTCGTGAAGTACGGCTATCTGGCCGCCCAGTACACGATTGGCCAGGGTGTTGTGAGCATGCGTGTTCGCGCTATGGCGACCGCAGTGCTCCTGTTTGTCGCCAACCTGATCGGCTACGGATTTGGTCCTCTTTTTATTGGTGCCATCTCGGACATCTTCTTTGTCAGCGGAGTCGCCGAGCTTGGCGTGACAGCTGGGGAGCTGTCACGAAATCAATGTCATCCGACGGTTATAAGCGCGTTGAGCAACAATCTGCAGAATGTCTGCGGCGAGGTCTACTCCCAGAGCTTACAGTCGGCGATGGTCATTATGGCTGCCTTGTACGCTGCCAGTTCTTTGTTCTTCGTGCTGACCTGGCGTCGACTCGATAAGGATATGGTAGATAGAAACTAAAACCTGTTTCTGGCAAGCAGTGTTTCATAGAAAGGGCTAGTCAGGAGAATCCATTCGCCTCTGAGCTACTGATATAAAATGAGATATTTGATCGGGCGTCCTCACTTCGCAAGTGGCGGCTTCCGACGCAAGCGTCGGCAGGATCTATCCGGCAACCACTTTGGCACCAACCGGTTTGTTGAGAATTGTTGCAACAGGAACTGCAACATGGATGCTCTTAACCTATGACCTCAATCACTATGGCAGCATTGACGAAATTGTCGCTTTCCGATAACTTAGAAACATGATCGAATCGTTCGGGAACCAGCTAGCAGAAGCTCTTTTCCATGACAACAACAGTCGAGCAACCAGGGCGTTTCCGCAAGAACTACGCCGCGTCGCCAGAAGGAAGCTTCTTTATTTACATGACGCTGCCGAGATAAAAGACCTTAGAGTGCCTCCGGGCAATCGACTTGAAGCTCTTAAAGGTAATAGAAAAGGACTTCATTCGATCCGGATCAACGAACAATGGCGTGTCGTGTTTCGTTGGCAGAACGGACAGGCTATGGACGTAGAGATCGTTGACTATCATTAATCGAGTTTTGGCATGAGCAAACAACCTAAAAATCCATTCCATCCCGGTGAGATTCTGCTGGAAGAGTTTCTTCAGCCGATGGGTATGACTCAGACCGCGTTTGCAGTGAAGGTCGGCTGGACACGCGCGAGATTGAATGAACTGATTCGTGGAAAAAGAGGCGTTACTGCTGAAGCGGCTCTGGACCTAGCTGACGCGTTGGGCACTTCCCCCAAATTATGGATGAATCTGCAGGCAACATACGACTTGGATAAGGCGCAGCGTGCGCGCAGCGCTGCGTAGAAACGAATATTTTCATTTGGGCTAAGTAAGTTTAAACGCTACTCCGAACTGGGGACGATGTCTCCGATACAAGCTGTTATCTATGGGTACGGGCAGCACCAAGGAATGTCTGGTCGGGACGGTATAATTTAAGGCGCCCAGCGTCGGCTGCGACCACCCTCCGCAGGAGGGTACTTGCCCCCCTGCTAGGACGCCAGAAGAGCAATATTTCATTTTTTTCAATGTGTTACATGGTTTTCTTTTTCTAAGAAGACTGCAGAACTAGCATGCATTAAGACTTATTCGTAGATGGAAGTGAACCCGTTATCCACTTTACTAATTGTCAGTACCCAACACGGGCATCGACCTAATAATATGCTAGGATCATGAAGATTCATGAAAATTCAGGAATACCATGACCACCGTAAAAGTGAGCTCTCAGGTCGAGGAACGCACTTGGGAGGACCTCAAAGCGCTGGCTGCAGAATCGCAACAGAGCATCTCGGGTGTTTTGACTGAAGCCATCGCTGAATATGTGCAGCGTAGACGAGTCCGCCCCGAGGTGAGATCGGCGCTGGCAAAGTCGATTGATAAAAACCGAAGGTTGGGAGAATTGCTTGCCAAGTGAGGGGCAATCTCCACCTGGTGCCGTTGCATTCCTCACACTTGAGGAGGCGCTGGAAATTCACGCCACGCTCTTACAGGAGTTTGGCGGGCCACCTGGTGTTCGGGATCTGGGACTTCTGGAAAGCGCCTTGTTTCGACCTCGTACCGGATACTACATGGACCTCATCGAAATGGCGGCAGCGCTCTTCGAGTCCCTACTAATGAACCACCCATTTGTGGATGGGAACAAGCGTGTCGCATTTTTTGCTGTCGATGTCTTCCTGCGAATCAATGGTTTCCATATCGCAGTGGACGCAGACGACGCACACCGAAAGATCATCCAAGTAATCGAGGAAAGTACTGACGTGAAGGAATCCTTGGAGACCTTTCTCCGACAATACACGGTGGAAAGCTAGGCCGAACCCGCTTCCAAAACTGTCACCCGTGTGTGCTGGCAGCACCCTCTTCGATCGTGTACAGATAGAATAGCGAAACGTCGAAGAGCACAGCTACATAGATGCAGGCTTCCCTGTGAACCTATGTGTGAATTGTCGGCGATGCGTTCATGTAGCTGCTTGTGTGGATCCTGACTACAGCGGATGTAACTTAACGGGCACGTCTTTGATGCCACGAATAAAGTTGTTGGGGTTACGCTCTACCGCCCCAACAATTTCCACCTTGTGGAAACGCTTCATTATCTCCTCCCAGAGCACGCGCAACTGCATTTCCGCCAGACGGTTACCCATGCAGCGGTGCACACCAAAACCAAATGCCACATGAGCCCGGGCATTGGGGCGATCAATGATGAACCGCTCGGCATCTTCAAACACGGATTCATCACGATTACCTGACAGATACCACATCACAACCTTATCGCCCGCCTTGATCTGCTGACCACCGAGTACATAGTCCTGTAAAGCAGTTCGGCGCATGTGTATCACTGGCGTTTGCCAACGCACCATTTCTGCCACCATGTTGGGAATCAGCCCTGGGTTGTCTCGCAGTTTCTGGTATTCATCGGGATACTGATTCAAACCGACAAGACCACCGCTGATACTGTTGCGCGTGGTGTCGTTACCGCCGACGATTAAAAGCAGAATATTGCCTAAAAAGAGCGCCGGGTCTTCATTCATTTTTGCGGTTTCAGGATTATTCTGCAGCATGGAAATCAGATCAAAAGAAGGCGGCTGCCCTTGTTTTGCCGTCCACAACTGATAGAACGCACCTGCGCACTCCATCAGCTCCTGGTAGCGTGTATCCATGTCGATACTGTCGTCACCGGTCACTTCCGGAACAGCGGTGGTGATGTCAGACCAATACACCAGCTTACGACGATCTTCGTACGGGAAATCAAACAAGGTGGCCAACATGCGAGCTGTGAGCTCAACAGACACTCGATCCACCCAGTTGAACGTCTCTCCTATGGGCAGGTTATCAAGAATATCTGCTGCCCGTTCTCGAATCAGAGGTTCGAATTCAGCCAGATTCTTTGGTGCAACAGTAGGTGAGACAACCCGGCGTTGTGCGGAATGGTTTGGTTCGTCCATGCTGATGAAGCTTTTATTCTCAAGCTGCCCTTCAACCGGCACTGGATCAACAATCGCGATACCGCCTTTCTCAGAGGAGAACACCTGATGGTTGGTGTCGACTTCTTTAATGAGTTCGTGACTGGAAACCGACCAGAATGGTCCGGTTAAACTTTCCGGCTGGAAGTGAACCGGCGCTTCTTTGCGCAGCCGCGCAAAGTAAGGCTGCCAGGTATCGCTCCCATAAAGCCCTGGTTGGCTGACGTCTATCTGGTCAAGTGCAATCGCGCTCAAATCCGAATTTGTTTTTACATTCATTACCTTATTCTCCCTGTATTAATTACTTGCTCAGGCACTCTATACCGAGCAAACGGGAGGCATTGCCACCCAGAATTTTTTCCCGCTCTAAATCTGTCAGGCGTTGCATTTGACGCTCAATAGCTTCCGGCGAATGCGGCCAGGATCCTTCCGGATGAGGGTAATCGCTGGCCCAGCAGAAATTGTCAATCAGCCCAAATTCAGCCGCGACCGCCAGGCCGGATCGATCTTCACCGAAGGTAGCATAACCCTGGCGTTTAAAATAATAGCTCGGTAGCTCCGGCAACTTCGGTTTTGCCCACATGTGATGTTTGCGATACGCCTCGTCCATGGCTTCCAGTGACCATGATACCCAGCCAATGCCGGATTCCACGAGCGCAAATCTCAGTTTGGGGAATCGTTCACAAATTCCCGAGGCGCAGAGCAACACCAGCGGCTCAATATTGGTGGTACAGCAGTGCGATACATAATTCGCGACCGCACCACCCGGCCCCCTCGCGGTAGTGGGATTGCGCCCGGTACTGACATGGAATGTGGCGGGCATATTTGTATCCTGCAGCGCCGCCCAGATTGGGTCGAACTCCGGCAGGTTGTAGTTCCGCTCCCGCGGTGGCTGGGGTCCGTACACTGGTTTGTTAGGTAAACAAACACCACGAAAACCCAGTGCAGCCACTCGTTCTATTTCAGAGACCGCGGCGGCAACATCGGTGGTGGTGATAAACGCCATAGGAAATTGCACATCCCAATGATCGTTGTACCAATCCCGTGCCCAGTTGTTCCAACCCTCGCAAAAGCGCATGGCCAGAGCCGGATCATCGTTGGCTATCTGGGCGGCTAAAAAAGCGGCACCTGGAAAGATAATCTCTGCATCAACCCCATCCCGAGCATTGTCCGTCACCCGTTTATCCGGGTAGCGGCCAGACAATAAGCGCTCTAAATCCTCCCCCGCCATCTTGTTGCGGTCGAGGAGGTGGGTGGGTACAGAAGATTCTTTTTTTTCTGCCTCGGCTTTCGGTTCACGTACACCTTCCGCTCGTTCCTGGTCCATCTCCTGGTCACGGCGTGCGCGTCGCTGTCTTAACTGTTCGCGCACATCATCGCTGATGTAGCCGGCCATCCAATCTTTTGGCTCGATGGCATGGCAATCTGCGGAAATAACGTAATATTTGTTAGTGTCATCGGGACGGACCGTGCGACTCCAATCCTGGTGTCCTGGTGTTTCCGTGCGCCATGCTTGCGCTTCCAATAGCTCCGCTTCTCGCTCGCTTACTTCTGTCACGTTATCCCCTTAATCTTTTTCGTTAATAAGAATTCGCCCGTCGAATAAATCACGCATTTGTTTATCGTTCAAATCGAGCCAGTCCCGAAGCACCTCTTGGTTGTGCTCACCTCGGTGTGCAGTTGGCCCACGCACGCCACTGGCCGCATTTGAAAAGCGATAAGGTGATTGGGGTATGGGTCGAGTGCCACCCGCGCGATCATCCACCTCGGCGATCATGCCTCGGTGTTTGAGGGTGGGCTGATCTGCCAGCTCGCGCGGACCGCGAACCACGCCCCAAGGGAGGTCTAAAGTGTCCAGGAGCCTGGTAAGCGCAGTCAGCGAGCCACAATCCATCAGGCGTTGTTCTATGGCAGCTTCACGCAACGCGACTTTCTCCTGCAGCGAGGCGCCTTCAGGGGTCGGATCCGCAAGCCCGGCACGACGATGCAGCCGT